GTCACATTATAACGCCCCCACGGCTGAAAGGGGGAGCACGTTCGGTGATGGGGAATCGAACCGAGCGTCCTAGCCACCAGTCCTATTCATTGTGAATCGTTCAAAGCGAATTCAGTCACGCTTGGATTCGAGTAATCGGTTCTCAGAACTATACCCTTTAATAGTAATTAAGTGGGGAGAAAATGGTAATACGATCATTACATCCCTATTTCTATAGTCTTCAAATTGTTAATCACAAAGTTACGTTTAATATATATAAGACAATTTAAGTCTCTCTTTTTGTTAAAACTACATCAAAGTTATAAGCAAGTCTTCAAATTGTTAATCACAAGGTTACGTTTAATATATATAAGACAATTTAAGTCTCTCTTTTTGTTAAAACTACATCAAAGTTATAAGCAAGTCTTCAAATTGTTAATCACAAAGTTATGTTTAATATATATAAGACAATTTAAGTCTCTCTTTTTGTTAAAACTACATCAAAGTTATAAGCAAGTCTTCAAATTGTTAAAAACAAGGTTACGTTTAATATATTTAAAACGATTTAAGACTCTATTTTTGTTAAAACTATACCAAAGTTATAAGCAAGTCTTCAAATTGTTAAAAACAAGGTTACGTTTAATATATATAAGACAATTTAAGTCTCTTATATGTATACATATAATGTATAAATTTCTTTAATGTGGTTTTCGTTGCCTCATAAGGCCTACTGTAAAACGGATTAAGAAACGGCTACCTTATTACAGTGTGAAAGCCTCGTCCTAGCTGGCGAAGTACGAGTTTAATTAATTATACTTGCCATACGACGTTAGTATTACGTCTCTCATATTTTTAACACCACATCTCGTCTCTTAGAGATTTTGAGTAATTAGAAGAGCGTATAATAATGGCCTCTTACATTTTTCATATTGTATTCGTTATCTATAATTAATTATGATCATGCTTCGTCAGCTTGGAAAACGCTTTCACACTATAGCAATTGTTATTCTGACAAACAGATTATGTAAATAGTAATCTACTGTGTTTGTTGTATCATTAAGCGAAACTCATTGTCCGTAATGGATGTAACAAATAGTGTACTTGAAATATTATTATTATACGCTCTTCTAATTCTTGAAAATACCTAAAGGCCTGAATAAAAAAATGTAGTGTTAAGAGTAAAATACGCCTAATATTAAAGTTTTATGACAAGTATAATTTATTATAAACAACAGACTTACCTGCTAAACGAAACTTTATACAGTCGAGTGCAAAACTAGGCTTACCTGACCTTGTTCCACGAGAAACACTTATTTTCCTGTTAAACTGCAACATAATAGCTCAGATGAGGAAAAAAAAGGATAAATTAAGCTTTTCAACTGCTTGAAAAAACATGGCTGTAACTGTGGTGGAAAGTGTTTACAACACCTTTTCTTCCAGCAGCATATCACCAAGCTAAGTTTTTGGTTTAGGTCTTAATCCTCACCGGTGATAGCCTAAAATACTGTTACGACAGCGAAAGTCACGTGACTCTAGGTACACGTCATGAGATTCTAGAAGGATCATGTCTGTTCGTGGCAACTCTGGTCTTTTCTACACGCCTTCTATTTTTTATATATATAAGACTGGCAAGAAGTGACGGGACGAGAATAATTGCAGATTGAAGAGATAGAGACAGATAATCGAGTCAAGTCGTAAGTAAAGTGCGTGAAT